GTAAACGACGAGTTTTTAGAAAATGATGATGTTTCAATAGATTACGACAATGTATCCGAATAAATTATGTATGTGTTATAAGTTTGTTTAATCACAAAATCAATTTGGATTATATATGTTTTAATTTTTTTTAATCACAAAATCAATTTGCATTTGGGGTTTGGGGTTTATGTGTAGAAGAGGTTAGGAGTTTGGTTGTAGAAGAGGTTATAAGTTAAGGAAATTGTGGTTTGGGGTTTGGGGTTTGGGGTTTCGAGTTTAGGGATTTATAAAACCTTTCCTCGTAAAGCCCTAGTAATAGAAAACACGGGCATAGCTATTTCCTCGTAATGTTCTAGTAAGGCGTTACTAGGGCTTTACGAGGAAAAAACGCGGGCATAGCTATTTCCTCGTAAAGGGTTTTCCTCGTAAAGCCTTAGTAATGTCATTACGAGGACCTTACGAGGAAATAAAAACACGGGCATAGCTATTTCCTCGTAAGGTCCTAGTAACGTTACTAGGGCTTTACGAGGAAACAAAATTCTTTATATATACTCGAGCAATCCGGTTTCTCATTTGCTAGTAACCTTCTCTCTAAATCCTCTAAAGGTTCTCTCTAATCCGTAGTTAGATGATTAGATTAGGGAATTTAGATTAGGTGGTTAGTTTAGGGAATTTAGATTAGGTGGTTAGTTTAGGTAATTTAGATTAGGTGGTTAGTTTAGGTAATTTAGATTAGGTTGGTTTACTTTTAGTTACTGTTTTTTTTAATTACTGTTTTTTTTAATTATACGGGAATTAATGTTTTGATTTTTTTTTTTTAAATATAGATGCCTAGACAGAGCAAGCTTGCTAAGGCTGCTGCTAAGAGGGCGTCGACGTCATCTCTCGAGGGGATAAGCTACAGAGATATGTTTGGGCGTCAGGATGCTCCGGGTTCATCCTCGTCAGCTCCCGATTCATCTTCGATTCTCGAGACTCAGAGAGCTTCTACGGCGTCTCGGCAACCACCACCTCCTCCTACTCCTCCTCCTCCTCCACCGGTCGGGGTTCATCCCGATTTGCAGGTGCCGCCGAACGCACCCTTTGCGGTGTACACGGTGGAGGATATTTTGGCCCTTCCAGGCAAAGAAGGGCTGGCAGAGTTAGATCCTTACCGACGGGACGGCCAAAACATTTTATGGTATGTTTTAATTTTAAAATTTTTTTTAAATTTATTTCTTAATTAACAAAATATTTAGAAATTAATCTAATTAATGATTTATCTTGTGTCTTTCCAGGTTTGGTTGTGACAATAGTGTCGGATCTAGCGTCACAGACTGTATCAAGGGATACTTTCCTGATCCAGCTCCAAAATGGAAAATGACGGCGAGCCACACAAAAAAAGACGTGGTTCAAATCGTTCGCTGAAAGTTTAGTTCGTTAATGTATTTTTAATTATTTAAAATTATTAATATAATTGAACTAATCCGTCTTTTATTTTTTCTGGTTATAGCAAAAGTATCATTGGTCTATTGGGATTCACCAGCGAGTGAAGAAGGAGTTTGAGGCCAAGGCAAGAGCACGATTGCTCGACATGGTCTACAACTAGAAGGGCGACTATGAGGTATAGATTTATAAATTATAATATATATATAGTTTTAAAAATATTATATATTGACTTTAATTCTAATTTTTTTTTTAAATCAGGTGGATGGTTACGAGGCCGGGAAACCCGATTGCCTCACAACCACGGTGTGGGATGGCTTCATCAGCTATTGAGGGTTGCCGGACTCGGTCAGAACCTCCAACACAAACTCCAGGAAACGCATGACCAAGGACGAGCATGGCAACACGAAGGTGCTTCACACCACGGGTCGAAAACCTCACGGGAGAGTTTGTCTAGACATGGTAAGATGAATATCAATTTAATTTTTATTTTATTTGAATATATTCCAAATTAATATTTAATTTTATAAATTAATTTTAGGCTAAGGAGACAGGAGTTCTTCCATCTCTGAAAGACCTTTACGAGAGGACCCACCAGAACAAGGCTGAGCAGTTTGTAGATCCTGCTTCCGAGCGGATCTACAACGAGCTTGTTGCCCGAGTTGACGAACGCCAGACCCAGCTGACTCAGCAGACTGGGTCTCCAGTCATATTATCCACTGTTTACGTGGATAAGATTTACGAGGAGGTAAATAATTTGTTTTACTATTAATTTTTAATATTTTTAAAAAATTTCTTAATGTTATTAATATTTTTATTTTCAGGTTGCCCCTAGGAAAAAGGGGCGTATCATCGGGATTGGCTCGGTTAACGATGTCCCTGCAGCGACATCGTCTTATCATCAGGAGCAGCACGATGTCAATGTTCAGCTGCGCTCGGAGTTGCAGGCGACGCAGTCTCATGTGACTTCGCTCACCGAGCATGTCACTTCTCTCACCGATATCCTCGACATTATGGCGGTTGGAANGCGTATCATCGGGATTGGCTCGGTTAACGATGTCCCTGCAGCGACATCGTCTTATCATCAGGAGCAGCACGATGTCAATGTTCAGCTGCGCTCGGAGTTGCAGGCGACGCAGTCTCATGTGACTTCGCTCACCGAGCATGTCACTTCTCTCACCGATATCCTCGACATTATGGCGGTTGGAAACCCGCAAGTGCAGGAGATGTTGCGTCAGAGACGGGAACGTGCATGGATTCCAAGTACCCAACATCCTCCGCCATCACAGTCACAGCCGGCAACCAACTATGGAGAGGATTTGCCGAGCCAGGACGACGACCAGTTCGTTCAGCAATTTCACGACCAGCATCCGTAGTTTCTTTTATTTTTATTTGTATATTATGAATTTAAAAACTTTTTGTATATTATTTAGTTATTTATAAAATATTTTGTTTTTTATTTTTTTATTTATAATTTGATTTTTTTTATTTTTAAAAAATAAATTAATTATTTGTAATTAGTTTTTTTTAATAGGAAAAAAACATTTCCAAGCAAAATCCTCGTAAAGTATTCCAAGTAATGTCCTCGTAAAGGGTTCGAGTAATTTCCTCGTAATATATTACTACGACCTTACGAGGAAATACTTACTACGAGCTTACGAGGAAAGCTCAGAGGACCTTACGAGGAAAATATTACCACGCCTTTACGAGGAAAGCTTTCCTCGTAAATTCGTTAGGACCTTACGAGGAAAATGGCTTTACGATGAACGTGTTTCGAGGAAACGCGTTTCCTCGTAATTTCCTAGTAAAAGGCCATTTACTAGGAAATAACGAGGAACACCCGTCCTAGTAATGGACGAGTTTTCTTGTAGTGGAATCTTTCAGAAAAATCAAAGAATTGTTTGAAGAGCTATGTCTGCAGCAGGAGGAAACGATGAGAAACCCAACACAACAGAACATTGGAGGCTTAAAGCGAAGCATATAAGCGCTGGGATTTTGTTTCAGGGCTTGAAGAGAAGGTTCTAAAACATTATAAGATGAGAAACTAACGTGATGTTCACAAAAATGTTTTTTAAAATTTTTGTAATTTAAAAAAATTATATAAATTAGAAAAAATTTGGAGAAATAGACTTAAGTAAGATCATAATTTTAAAACTATACCAGTATTTAAAATTTTGCGAAAATATACTTATGTATATATAAATTTACCAAATTGTCTATTCTTAATATTTCTTAATTCCTAATTTATTTATATTTAAAATAACAGCTTTACAAAAAAAAAAATTGTTAAAAAAATATTTGATATATCTTGAACTTTTTATTATTTGGAACAAATAAAAAACCTCAAGAACGACATCTCCTTCATTCTTGGTATCCTCTATTTCTGGAAAAAAAAACTGTTATTGGAGTTTTCTCAGAAATTTGTAGTTTAAGATAACTCCACTAACAGTTTTTTTCAGAAATAGAGGATACAAAGAATGAGGGAGATGTCTAGAGGATGATTGTTTACATATTTTGCAGTAGTTTTTAGTTCTTATTTTTGAAAAAACTACGTTTTAGACAATCAAGTTTTTGGATAAATAGATTTCCTATAATCTAAGAAAACTGGTTTTTGAAACAAACTGTTGTTTCTAAGAAATACCAAAACCCACTTTTTCAAGTTTTTACAACATCACGTTTGTTTCTCATCTTATAACTTTTTTTTTAAGTCCACAAAAATGTTTTTTTTTTCATTTATGCATTAAACATAGGAAACATAAACGTGATGTTGTAAACGAAAGTTCTTGTGTATGTAAACAGAAAAAAAAGTTCAAAACATATTTGTTTCATTTATAAATTAATGTAGGAAAAAAATAAAAATGTTAACTACTATAAACAAATAATTTTTAGTAAACAAATATTTTTAACATGTATAATACAAAAAAAATGATTTATATTACAAACATTCTTTTAGATTTGTCATGAAAATCAAATTAATTATTTAAGTTTACTTTTATGTAAAATTTGCATGTTTTGTTAATAATCTGTTGGTATTATTTTATTTTAAAATTGTGATATATTCTTTTAGTTATTATATGTGAGTTTAAAAATACATAAATTAAGTTATAAGTTAAATATTTTAAAATAATAGAAAACTAAAATAAATCAGTAATCAAATTTTAGGAAAACAAATACTCTAAAGAAAACAATAATATTCAAAAAATTAAAATAAAATATTTATTAAATGTAAAAGCTAAAATCAAAAACTACAAAACAAGGATCGACATTCGTGTTTTTTTCAAAAGCTAAAATCTACCGCAAAATCAAAAATCAAAAACAAAAATTAAAAACTAAAAACCATCCAAACAATCACCACCCTACTCCCTACTCTCAGCAATGATCTAAAGCAGATAGCCGGTTTTAAATTAATTTTACTAAAAATAATCCGAAAAGGCCGGTTGACCTAAACCAATGATGCTTAATCGTTTGGTAACCTGATTAGACGAATAAGGATAACCAACACCTAACGGGCCTAGAAACATTTAATATAGCCCATTTGTTTGTCGATAAATAATTTGCTGTTTATGTCTGGCTTGTAGTTAAGAGAGTCAATTTACTTTGGTCATCTGAGAAAAACAAAATGGCGGCGGCGGCGAAAGCAGCGGTGGTTTTGCCACGTCCAGTGACGTTTGTGACGGGAAATGCGAAGAAGCTCGAAGAGGTGAAAGCTATCATCGGCAATTCCATTCCTTTCAAGTCTCTCAAACTCGACCGTTCGTACCCCCTTTCGATTCCACTTCCGTACCTTCTTATTACATTGTGTGTGTGTATTAATGACTGTTGAGTTGCAGTGCCCGAGCTACAAGGTGAGCCCGAGGATATCTCTAAAGAGAAAGCTCGTTTGGCTGCTCTTCAGGTGCACTTGCTTTTTACACTTTTCGAATACTCAATTTAAGTGATTAAAAAATCATCTTTTTTTATGTGAAGATATATATATATATATATATATATCTTTGTTTCTTCCTTGTGCTGATACAAAATGTGTTTGATTTGTGAATGAGAAGGTAAATGGGCCAGTGCTAGTGGAGGATACATGTCTCTGTTTCAATGCTTTGAAGGGTCTTCCTGGTTTGTTTTCCTTTAAGATTCTCAGTTCTTTCATTCATGACTATGTAGAGCAAATGGTCACACTGTCTGATTTTATTTTCTGGGGTTTTGCAGGGCCTTACATGTAAGTTCTCCCCTCTTAATACTCAGCTTGTTTCTTTTTTTTGTCCATCCATAACAAGAAGGATAGATTTTTCTCTTTTTTCCTAATTGTGTAACAAACTATGAGTTAACTAGGTAAATGGCTTACAGAAAAATAGACCAAGTTTAGTATATGTTCTTTAATCTTTATCTATGGACCTTTATTGATCAAATTTGGGACATTTAGGTATGATTGGGTTGGATCAAGTCATGTTCTTAGTTGTTTTAGGTGGCTGCTAAGTGGTGTGAGTGGATACACAAACGGAGTTATTTTACTGGATGATGTGATCATGGATGTCTTAATTCGAAATGTAGAAGAGACCTCTATTTTCTTCACTTATTGTTGGCTGGAAATTAGAAAGTAGGACTAGAAATATATATATTGAACTGCTGGTCAGTATCAGATTGATTCAGCGTCGGACTAACTGTATTGGAGTTATGTAGAGTTCTTCGTTGTAGCACTTTTGATCTTCTTTTCTGTTTTCTTTTTTCTGCAGTAAGTGGTTTCTTGAGAAGCTTGGCCATGAAGGTTGTGATAGTCAACTCTTTCTCTTTCCTTTCTCACCTCACCCTTTGTTATATTTATCTCCTAACCCAATCTTTGGTCTGATGTCCAGGTTTGAACAACTTACTGATGGCCTATGAAGATAAATCAGCTTATGCATTGTGTGCATTCTCTTTCTCGCATGGTCCAGGTGCTGAACCTCTTACATTTTTGGGGAAAACTCCGGTATCTTCACTTCCTCTTTTTAATTAAACTTCTGCTATATCCACTAATCATTTTTTGTTTTCTTTTTTTTTTTTTTACTGTTAGTTGTCGAAGTTTGATTGTTTTTTCTTTGTGATTGATGTGGCAGGGTAAGATAGTTCCAGCAAGAGGACCAACTGATTTCGGGTGGGATCCAGTGTTTCAACCTGATGGATATGACCAAACGTACGTGCGCATCTGTTTTGTCACTCAGACAACGTTGTATTAATCCTCCTTTTTTCAGAGACCTTTAAAACTGAGAAAGCTTGATTGGTGATTTCTCTATATTGGTTGTAGTTATGCAGAAATGGCAAAGGAAGAAAAGAACAAGATATCTCACAGGTACAAGTCTTTAGCAATGCTGAAATCTCACTTTAAGGAGGCTGGCTACGTGTTCCAGACAACAGATGATGATACCAACTAAAGTGAACCCAGTCACCATTTTCCCTCAGCTTTTAAAGATTTGAGCACTGGTTCTCCTTTGTTCTAAATTACAATTAGAAACACTTTTGTTCACAAGTTCTAACCAAAACATAAAATGGCAAACGTATTCATTAGATTTTGCTTTGTTCTCAAGAGACAGTTAAGTTAATACTAATCATGGTCATGATTCATGAAATTTTGTTGCGTGATTCGTTATTTAGTGGAAATGGACTGCACTCGTAGTATCATGCTTGAATGTTGCCATGAAACAAAATCATTACCAGGAATCTAAACTTTTAATGTAGATTTCATGTAACTTTTTCAGACTAGTACTCGCGTCTTCGAAGACGTAGCTTTAGATGTCCATGATATAGTAGATCTGGTTGGTGGACAGTAATAGCGAATTAGAGCATCTCCAATGTATTACTCCATTTTCTACTCCAAAATGGAGTGACTTAAAATGCAGTTGAGTTTTACTCCAATGTATTACTCCATTTTCTACTCCAAAAAATATTTCTAATATATTATGTTTTATATTTTTATTTTAAAATTAGTCATATCACCTTTCATTTATATTATTTGCAAAACAGTCCATTTTCAGTTTATAGCATTTCTATTAAATACAATATTAACAACAATTAAATTTTTATTATATAAATAAAATTACTTAACAAAGTTTTAAAAGAAAATATTTAGTACATTAAAAATTACATTACATAGCTTAAACACAATAATACATCAATTTTAAATTATTCATTAGAATTAGAATAATTTTCCCACAAATGATCAATTAATGCATTTTGAAGTAAAAAATAAGCTTATTTATCTTTGATTTTTCTGAAACGGAAAAGAAAATCTTGGAACCTCACATCCTTCAATTTCAACTTCCCTAGGTAGAAATTCTCTTTCAACTTCAATTTTCTCTTCGAGATTACAATCATCTTATAGTATCATGTTATGTAAGAATTTAATAATATGTTATCCAATTATTTTAATAATTTTAATGGATCCAAAATTGATTTATCGGATTATTAAACAATTATCTTTGTTGTAAGTTTTATTTTATGTTATTTCTTTTGTATGGTGCTTATCTTTTATTTTATATATATATGATCTTTTATGTTTTATATATATATTTTTTTTTGCATAAAAGCGTTCATCATGTGGCTATTTATATAATTAAGAAAAAATAACAGTAAATTTTACAATATATATAGTAAAATAATATTTATATACTTATTTATAAAAATATTATTAAAAACAAGGCTATTAATATAATTAGGAAATATTAATAGTATATATAGTAAAATAATATTTATATACTTATTCATAATAATATTTTATTTAAAAAGGAGGATGTTTATATAATTAAGAAATGTTAACAGTATATTTTATAATATATATAGTAAAATAATATTAATATACTTATTTATAATAATATTTTATTAAAAATGACGCTGTTTATATAATTAAGAAATGTTAACAGTAAATTTATCATATATATAGTAAAATAATATTAATATAGTTATTTATAATAACATTTTATTAAAAACTAAAAATATATAAATGTGGAGGACCATTTTATAAATAAAAAAGTTCAACTCAATTTTGGAGTAATGAGTTGGTTTACTCCATATTTGGAGTAATCATATTTGTTACTTCATTTTGGAGTAGGTTTTGGAGTAGGGTTGGAGATGATTTTACTGCAAAATGGAGTTTGGAGTGGATTTTGGAGTAGGGTTGGAGATGCTCTTAGTGCGTAGTATCTCTTGAGGATTTATATTTTGCTGTTATAAACCTTATCATTCCTATTTTTCCAAATGTGCCAAATTATTCATCTTTTATACTATAAAGCATAAGTCATTTGACAATTCTGTGAATGACATCTGTCATTAGAAAAAATTAAATTCTTTTCGAAAACGAACGATTGAAATCAAATGTGAATCACCTTCACAACTTCTGCTTCCCACTATCTCTTTATAACTGCTTTTTTATTTTTAAATTAATTCCACTATCTTGCCGATCAAACTACATAAGCAATCATAGGTGATGATTGTTTACTTGGTTTTTAGATTCTAGTTTTTACTTTTTGGATTTTAGTTTTTGGTTTTCAGATTTTAGTTTTTAGTTTTTAGTTTTTGATTTTACAGTAGATTTCAGTTTTTTTTTAAAACATGAATTGATGTTATAGATTTTGGTTTCTAGTTTTTGCGTTTAAAATTAATAAAATAAAAAAATATTATTAAAAAGAAAATATTTATCTATAAAAATTAAAATATAAATCATTATTATCAAAACACACATAAAGTTATTAATACTAAAAAAATATACAAATACAAAATAAAACTATCCTAAATCTCATATAATTTTTTTTTGAAAATATATCTTTTATTATATAAAGCACAAGTCAATTGAGAGCTGTGTGTTTGACACCTGTCCTCTAATATTTTCTTTCTCAACTTTTTACGTAAATTTGTTTCTTCCCCGAGAAACATCTTTCTATTTTATAAAAGAAGACACATGATATTAGGTGTTGATTTTCTTTTACGTGAGGCAACGGTTTCAGTATCTATAGTTGGGCTTTTAAATTTTTAAATCATGTATTAGTTCTGCTTTTAAGCCCATTTTAGAACTTTTGTCGACAAAAGAAAGTATTTCCACTTTCTTCTCCACCTTGCGTAAGTTTAGCCCTCACCTCCACTTCTGATATCTTCACAGAAAAAAAAATTTCTTTCTCCAACTTCCTCTCTTATATATACATATCGTTAACTAATCACAAAAAAGGGTCTCCAGATTTGTTCTAGCAAAGGTAAATCTGAGTTTTTTTTCCTGAGTTTGTAAATCTGAAACTCAACGATTTCATTCCCCCTTTTTCTATATCCAATTTCGCCTCTAATCTGAATAAATTTTTTCCAGGTATTGTTCTAGCTATGAGCAAGATGAAGCTTGATTTCACTCCTCTGCACATAAACCTTCCCTCAAATCTAAGACTGTGCTTCGGAAAAGCAGCCCCGCCGCACTCGGTGTCAGCTCCTCCTCCTCTGCCACCGCTGGTTCTAAGTCTGGAAACGGCGGCGATGCTGGTGGTAAAAAAAAAACTTCTCTGTTCATATTTTTTTGTTTACCTAGAAAATTTATCTGTTAGGTTTACTACAGTAACTAAGAATGTCACTGGATCATGATCTGTTTTTTTTTTTTTTTGCATTGCATGATGTTTTTTTTTAGTTCCTGGGAGGGTTCGTGTAGCTGTTAGGTTAAGGCCAAGCAGTGGCGAGGAAATGATCGCTGATGCTGATTTTGCTGATTGTGTTGAATTACAGCCTGAGGTACAGTGATCTACTTAAGCTAAGCATATATTATGAAAACATGGAGAGAGCTTGATTAGTTATGTGTTTGGTTCTTTTAGGTAAAGAGGTTGAAACTAAGGAAAAACAATTGGGACACTGATACTTTTGAGTTCGATGAAGTACTCACTGAGTATGCTTCTCAGAAGCGAGTTTACGAAGTTGTGGCAAAACCTGTTGTCGAGGCTCACGTCATCAATATACTATTAAGATACGTGCTCTACTATGTTCATGTACATGTGTGATGGACATCTTCAGATATGTGCATCAAGGGCAGTAAAACAGATGGCAATTCACATTGATGCTTAAGCTAACCTTCATTTTATGTATATATTACCTACAAGTGATCATGCTTCTCTATTTCAAATGGATTATCTATCTTAGATTTTATTTGTGAACCAAGTATAATTTAAAATAAGAAAACAACCTACCAGCGGTGGTGTCAAGACGCGGTGGTTCCGGATCGTATGTCTTCTCTTCCTCTTGCTCATGTTCTTCACCTCACGGATCCTATATGAACATCTACGATATGGACGGGATGGTACATAACGAGGCATGTGAAGGCAGGGGCTGCTACTCCGGTGAAGCTAACATGGTTCTCGGGTGACAATGGCTTCCTCTCCGGTGAAGAACATGGGCTGGTGGCGTCAATGGTGGTAGCTCACGTCTTCTCCAATGGCAAAAAGCACGAGCTCATGAACAATGATTAAAGAGAAGAAGAGAAGCAATCGAAATAAAGAGAGAGCAAGATGGTGCAATTGAGGTTTCACGTCGGCTTCCAAATAGAAGTAGAGAAGGTGACTCCGTTAAATAATTAGGTAAAATTGCACACACGTTTTTGTTTTTGTTTTTCTCTTTTTTTTTTGTTTGCACACATGTATACTGATAATATAAGAAGGCTATAACTTTGGTTTAGTACTAATAATTAATTAGTGGGGCAAACCAAACTGGTCAAGAGCACCAAATAATTTAACCCATTTAAAATTTGGTATGAGAAAACCGGGTCGTTAAGATAGTTTATTAATATAGTTACTTATTAAAATCATATCTATTTTTGTTTTATTTATTTGATTATAAATGGCTTTAATAAAACATGAAAAAATAGTATAAATATTAATTTGACAATATATTTCTCATAAAATAAAAATAATAAAATAATATTTCTTTATAGTATTAAATAACTAAATTGTAGCACATATATTTGTCAAAAAAATTTGTTTAATTTGATAAAATGATAAACTAACCTTTAACTTAAAACAAAATATTGAATTACTAACTTTTAACTTAAAACTAAATATTGTTTAGTTTGTATAATATTAAAAATCATTTACTAATTTTTTAAATCGAAATGGCAATGCCCGTGCCATGCCGAACTATTCCTTAGCTTAGTTAATCCTAAGTGGAATAAAAATAATATGAAATAGTTAAGGAAAATACTAGTTTTAGTCGAAGTTAAAATTAAATAAAATCAAAAGAAAATATAATTTCTCTAATTAAGTAATATTAAAAGTTATCAACAATGTATATATATATATAAATATATTTATATATAACTTTGTAATGACTAACTTCAAATAAATAAATTTATATTATTGATAATTTTGAAATTTTGTCTGAATTATTTTAAATTTATATTAATTTATTGTTAGATGTGTGTTTCAGAAAAAAGTAGCGTAGAAATGCATTAATTATAGAGTTGGATTATATGTGCTCAGGGTTGGATTATAAGCATTATCTATATGTACATTTATTTCTTAAGTACCCATCGGAAGTTTTTGTTGGATTAATATTTTTTATATTTATATGTGTAAAATACGTTAGAAGCAAAAAACTAGAAAAAGTTAGCTTTTAGTTTTTGCTTAGAAGTAGACAGTTATTTAAAAAAACTAGTTTCCCTAGATTTTAGGAAAACCATTTTGAAAAAAACTTGATTGGAATAAAATTGGTTTTTGGAAAAACAAAAACCAAAAACTAATCTAAAAACTACAAACAATCAACCTCATAATATGTACTCTTGAGAACCAACAACATTGATCAAAAACCAGAAAAAAATGTTCGTAGATTTATATGATAAATCATTGTGTCAATTTTATAAAAATACTGAAGACAATTGGGAAGAAGAAAACTTACATGCTTCGGTAAGCATTGATACTGTATTACTCTTTTCTTTTGAATTGTGGTTATATATCATTTCACTTTCTTCCATAATTGGTCAAAATAGATGAATATTACGATGAGTATCAGAAAACACCATCAACAACTCCTGAATAACATTGTTCGTGAACCAGATTTGTTTTAATTGTTGTTGTGTCTCTTTGATCTTTAATTTATTTGAAACAACTTTTTGATGTTTTTCTTTGTATACTCACTTATTTCATTTTTAATATTTTTTGGATGAAAAGGTCAACGTGTTAGTTGGAAGAAAGAAATCTAAATTTCTATATGCGGTTTTGAGTAGAATGTTATCAGTGTGAGAGACTATTTAGTTCAATAACATACATAGAAAAACTAATTAAAATCAAGTATGTGCATTTGATTATGTTTCATTCCAAAAAACCCCAAGAAGAAGCAAATGTCGTATGATTAAAATTGCTCCATCACCAAGCTATAAAATTCATCTTTTTGATTTGTTTTTGACAACAAAATTATTATAGCAATTAAGGAAGTGCATATTTTATTATTTCTTGCAAGATTGTTTGTTATTATCTAAATAAAAAGTCTATTTTATGGTTTTGTTATATCTTAATAAAATTTGGATTTTTAAATGGCATGTCGAAGATAATACATATATTATATCCAAAATTCACTAATTTTTATTACTTGATAACTATTTATATTTATGTTGTTCAGAATTAACACTATTCTAATAGAAATCTTTTGGAATAGTGCAAAATATCTTTTGAAGTTAGAATATAACACAATTAAACATTACTATGCCCATGAGAAACAACTTAAATCATGCTCCCTAAGACCATCTTCAATGGGGGTTCTATCCCATTGGAGTTTTAAAATCAAATATGTGCTGATAAATACATGAGCCTGCAAAACAAATTATTCATGTTAGCAAAGACCGAAGCCACTGACAATACACCTGGGTCCGAGGAATTTTTTGATAAAACTCAAGTATATAGTGCTGATAAATACATGAGCCCTTGCTTGTTTGTTTGAAAAGAAAAAGCCCTTGTTGGTAATATTGTTCATTAAATGCTCAGATGGGAGACTTGTAAAACTTTCATAAGCCCATAATATTGGAATGATGGCAAAGTAAGGAGATGATATTATATATTTCACATGAATTACCGTTTGTGATCAGACAATGTATTTATGAGAGAACAACCAGTGGATAGAGCTCCTCATGGAATCTCTTAAGAAATTAATCAAGTAAGAGTAGAGAAAATTCCAACTAGTAACGTGCAGAACCACTTACGTACACCTCAACTTTAAAAGAAGAAAGAAAGATCGGATACACCTGTTTATGGGTTTGGCATCACATCACATGTTTGTGTAACAACTCCTTTATATTTACTCACTACTCCCAACTGTTTTGTGGTTTCACTCCTATATTTCACAAGTATGGAGGTTGCTTTAGAATCAAAATCAATTCAATCATCCAACTACTCAAACACTAAAGCCAACAAAACAAGAACAAAAAAAAACGGAAATTGCAATGAAATGAAGAAAACCTTTTCCATCGTCTTGTGTTACAAATTTAGCTTTACTATGACCACTAACTTGAAAGAGAACTCCAAAAAGACTAAGGACGCAAGGGAGGAGGGAGATCCATTAAAACCAAAGGGACCTCAACAACTCCAAAACCAAAGGGAAAAACGAAAACCATAAGAGACTCTAAAAAGAAGGAAAACCTTTTGAACAACGCTTCTGAGCTTGCTCCTCTTTGTTTTCCCACCTTTTGAAGAAGAAGATAAAGCAAGCTGAGGTTGACTCGACCCAAAACGAAACGAGAAAGTAGAAAGATAACTACTACTGTATATTCCACTTTCCAAAGATATGGGAAAGGGGTTTAGGGTTAGTAACTGTGGGAGAGACAGAGAAAGCTAACAAGGTCTGCCTTTGCGGCAACCTAGTGCTCCTGCAGTAGAGGTTATAGTGTGGACCATTGATGATGGTTTAGCTGCTAAGCTCGAGGCTCGTCCATAGCTAGCTGAGGCTTCTGCTCCTGATGCCCTGAAGAATGCTCCGTTCAGTAGCAGATCTCCTTCTGACCTCCAATTCCACTTCTGCCACTCATTTGCATCCGTCTCTACTCTTTTCGTCACCTATTTGATCCACATTTTAAAAATCTGGTAATAAGGATTACTATACACTACAACACCTTACTCTGTTATTAAATAAAAAATAGTTTTTAGAAATTGAACCTCCTTGGCGAAAGGGTCCTTAGGAGCAGCATATCTGTTTCCTTGACTGTTGATGGTTGGGTCTGCACTCCCACCAATCGCGTACATTTCCCAGTGTGTGTAGTCGTTGTTAACCACATGGAAATACCCATGTCTGCACCTGAAATTACACAACCCAAATTCTACAATCAGAACAAATGATGATAGCATAAGTCTAAGAAATTCAAAAACAAATAGTAACTTACCTTGGCATTCTCTGAACCAATCCTTCTCCAAAATGGTTGTAAGCAATGGTCACTTGCATCAGCTTATCTTTGGTGTAGGAATCACTGTGGCCTAGCAACATGACCTCATTGTGGTGTGTAAAGTGGTTGTTGGAAACGGTAATAGCAGTAGAACCCATGACAGCATCCACAAGGCCATCAGCACAGTGAGAGAGGGAGTTATGATCAATCCAGATATGAGATGATCCAAAGATAGAGACTGCATCGCCATCAGCCATTGTCCTCCAGCCGAAATGAGACGGCGAGCTTCTAACCATTGCGTTTCCAGTAGGTATGCAATCATGAATGTGAAGACCGTGAATGATGACATTGGTGATAAACTGGATAGTGATGCAAGCACCGTTGGCTATGTGCACATTAGCACCACGACCATCAATGGTCTTGAAACTGTTCATAATCAACTCTTGTTTCAGCTCAATCACCATATCTCTTTTGAACACAATCCACAGAGGCTCGTCTTGGATAACCGCATGGCGAAGAGTTCCTGGTTTGGGGTTAATAACGTCTTCGTCAGTGGGGTCGGTGACAACGTAGAAGCGTCCATCACGACCACCAACTGCGTTGCGTCCAAATCCGATCCCACAATCAGCAAGGCGTTTGCGGTTCTTATGCCAGTTACGTTCACAACGCCAACAGTCATCGATTGGGTTACCGGTTCCACAAGAGAAAAATCCAAGCTTCCTCCTTGCTGTGTTGTTATGCTCACTCCTGAATAACAAAATTAAATTCAAAAAAGGATTTATTTTTTTTAGTTTTAACCGGAATCTAGAGGCAGATTAAAACATATCAGCCGCTGTTATGTTTGTTCTAACCTAACGTAATAAATTCCTTTGTAGGTTTATGAGGTCAATAAAGTGGTTGTTCACACATCGATTTATTTTGTGTCATTAATGTTCACTAAAAAAACAAGTAAAATAGAGCTAAATGCCACAAAAAGACGGTAGAGAACCGTTGCAAAAATCCAAAAAGACCATAGAAAGAAAAGTGAATCGAAGTAATTGAGGAGGCCGTTAAACCAATTAAATACAAAACAAGACAATATCCGTGCGAACTCTGACAATCGCGAGAGCGTGGTGAAACGACAGACAATGTGTCAGTTTTATTCTAGGGTTGGTTTCATGTCTGTACCTATCTTATAAGTAGCATAGCTTCACGACGAAAACTAAAGAGACAAGAATAGCAACACAACTTTTACGGATAAAAATAAGTTCACTAAAAATTAAAAATATCAAGCGTTCTATTGTGTGTTCTTTAATAAAAGACATAAGTTTGCTTCTAAGTTCTTTAATTAATTTTTTAAAAGGTAGGGACTTGTCGTCTGAAATGCGATTTGCAGATAATGAAAAAAAAATGCTGTGTTTTCGAGAAACTAAATGCAGTCACACAAAAGAGAAAGAGAGAGAGAGAGAGGAGAGAGAGATAAACTCACATCTGAACAAGGGTAGCGACTTCATCAGCAACCTTATCTGGATCATTAACCGCGTGCTGTTCATTCAAATCCACACCTTCAAGCCTGCACAAATGACGCGACCAACCATAAACAAAAATTATTAACCAATCAAGATAAACACATTTAATCTAGAACGTATCTGTCCGACACGTGGCAACATCAACGCAAGTAAATCCGATAATATGTACATGCGAGAGTAGAGGACAAACGTTTAGATAGAATTGACTAGTTTGCCCTTCTCTGAAATGCACGTTATTAACTTTTATCATCGCCGATAATTATATACTGACGTGGAATATATGATAAACATTTTATCAAACCGTAGGCTAGAGAGACAGAGCATGTGTGCGTGAGAGAGCGGCGATGAATGAATAAATGGAAAAGGTGAACGGTTAACGAATCCGAGGATCCTTAGCATATCAACGGCTACGATTGTTAGTTAATATTCCACTTTTTGTTTTTATTTTAAAAATTGAACAAAAAAAGGTTAAACCTAGCGGTTAAAAGCGCGTTTCATGTTTTCGTGAGCGGCGGCAAAAAGAAAAATAAGTTTTGTTCCTTCTTTTACCTGTTCGCCGCCATTGCTGAGATGTTTACTGGGCTCTGCAACTCCTCTGTTTTCAACTTCCTGGAAAAAAAACAGAGCATTTATTACGGAATCTAGAGTCTTAAGCTCAAAACTCCTCACAGAAAGACTCACACAACTACAATTAAATATTATAGGGCACAAGTCCATGAAAACTCAAAATTCGACAAAGATGAATAAGTATCAAAATCCTCTGTATAAAATAGATAATGCAGCTTAACCAGAGACTTAGTATCAACACAAAAGAAAAAAAAGCAGCTGCAAAACAAATCAGTCGTTGAGAGGAAAAAAAAGAAAAAAAAAATCAGGACTACTTAAAACAGAGATGGCAAAAAATGTCAAATTTCTTCGCAGAAAATGAGAATGCAGCTTAAACGGAGACTTAAAAAGAGCTCGGAAGAGAAAAAAAAAAAGAGCTAGATCCGAGGAGGAAGAGAAAGAGAGACCTGGAGCTAGGGATTTCAATTTTCCGGAGAACCGTTGCAGTGAGAGCGAAGAGGACGAGGACGGTCAAACAAACAGAGGTTACTTTCTGAGACGACGACGCCATTGAAGAAGCTTCTTTCTTCTCACTTTTTCTCGGGAAAATGGAAGCGGCGAGAGGAGAGAGAAGGTTAGAAGAAGCAGGAGACGAGTGACTGATTAGTGCACAAGCTCCAAGGAAACCGTCTCCGTTATTTATACGCAAAATGAAAACGTTATCGTTGCCGTTAGTTTTAAACGCCGCTACTTAACAGGCAGTGAAGCTGTTACTTTTTTTTATTTTTATAGGTGAGGTTCTCGTTGCCGTTAGTTTATAAACGTTCGCAGTTTTCACTTTCACCGTCTCTACTTTTTGTTTACCGTTTAATTCTAACGCCGTAACTTGAACGAAACTCTCACAACTGCCGTAACCGCCTCATGTCTCATTTGCATAATTATTATCTTCTTTAATAATTATTAAAATCGTTATATAACAATCCATGTTTACTCTTACTTACTTGGATTAGGTTAATAATAATCATTTCTGCATTGTTAGATGTTTATTCTTACTTGGATTAGGTTTCGTAATCGAATTATTTTCATCTTTAAAGGTCATATTCCATTATATAGTGTAAAACTGTTAATTAATTTGGATAAATTAAGGTACAGTTTTTTGGATAAATTGTGCAAATAAATGAATATTGTTTTACTTGTGTAAATGGATAAATATTGTTGGTGTTGGTAACAATCAAATGTAATAAAATTTAAATATCCAAAGTGTCTTAGAGGTGTATAGTGTAATTTACTAAAGTGTTATTGATTATGCAAATAATCCAAACGAATTGCTTTTATGCAAATCGAGTTCAAATCTCTTTGGTATACATGGTTATTCTCTAAATTAAAATTTCTAAAAATGGACTCTGAGTTTGAAGAAGATTAAGATGTAAGGTGAGATATATTAACGACATGACTGATTCACGAATGGAACAAATGTCTTAGACCCGTAATCCCAAAAAGTGTCGTAGACCTAAATTCAAAAATTAAGTAAACACTGTTTTCAACATTGTTCTATACAACTAATACTTAAGTGATGTTATATTCTATCACTGGTAGGTTGTTAACAAGTTTTATGCAAATATATTATTCAGATGTGATTACCGAAAAAGATGCGCAGTTATGTGATTAGTTAATGAAAGAACTGTTGATCAAAAAAAAAAAGTTAATGAAAGAACTAACGGAACTAACGAATTAAGGAGCTTAGAAATGCCATGTCATCAAAAGATACGGATGTTAATGGGTCACCACTGGTTTATACATGCCGAATTTAAAGGGAAATATTTTCTCCAGCTTAATTAATCAATTAATTTAATCTCCATGTTTCTGAAGTTTCCCAGGCGCACATTACGGTCATTTGTTGACCGGCCACATCACTCCGTAGTATGTTTCCACCAAATGATGAAAAAGAATATTGTTTCTTTTTTTTATGTCTTAACGACTGATGTGAGAAACAAATTTAGTGTTTTTTTTTTTGAGAAAGAGAAACAAATTTAGTGTTATAGAGTAAACTAATTTGAAAATGTACCAAAATGACTTTTTGGGAAGAAACAGAAATAATTTGTTAGGCCTTTTAGTATAACATTTGGTAAAAATTGGTACAGAGGATAAATCGAATCTGCAGCAAGTTGAACAAATGAGCACCCCACAACTAATTGAACCAGCTAATCTCTTGTCAAATTGACCCCTAATACCAGAGGGTTTGTTATAGCCAATCAAATTAACCATTTGGGTCGAAATCCAAATCCAAACAAATATGAAAATTACTTTGTGAATTATCAGTCCATGGAAGAAAAATAAAAGAAAATGAAATCAAGAAGCTTTTTTTTTATTCTAAGAATGAACTATGTATGAGTGCTTGGTTGAGCTACCATAGTCTCCGGTGGTGCTTAGTTGCAGGCTTCACATCTCCAATTTGTGGGATCAGGTTTGAGTTGTATACCACACATCTTCCTCGCTTTCTTCTACATATCTATGAAGGTTTTATTAAGATTCAACAGCTGAGAAAAAGAAGATCAGAAAGTTTGTAATGAAATGTTTCTTTATGCTCTGAAATTATTAAATGTTTCTTTATGCTCTGAAATTTTCTTTAACTTTTTGAAAATGTAATTTAGTTTTTGATTTTTTTTGTTCAATTTTTTGAATTTTCTTTATTTTTTTTTTAATTTTCAGAATTTTATTTAATTTTTGCTATTTCAATTTACTTTTTTATAAATTTTTCTTTATTTTAAATTTTATTTATTTTTCTGAAAATATAATTGATTTTTATTTAATTTGTTTGATTATATATTAAATTTTTATTTATTAAATATTTATTTTTCAAAAAAAACTTGATACATTACCTGTTTTACCTGTTCAATAGGTCAGATTTTTAAGTTCAAGGTTTTTTGTGATACAAATGTCACTTTGAAAACTTAAATCGCTAGTGAAAAAACTTTAAGGTTTAAAGTGCGAGTAAGTGTCACTTTGAATATTTTTTATGTGTTTTTCCCGATTTATTAATATACTAGATGATACATGCACGCATGTTCGGACGAGTGTTTTATATTAATGTTTGTTCAGTTTTAATATTTTGTAACACTATATTCTTTATCGATTGTAAAATATCGAATACAAATTTTAGTCTCTTAAATATATCATATGTCCGAGCATTCGGAGATCCGTCAGTTTTGGTTTGATTGATTCGGATTTTAATTTTTTCTGGTATTATGTTTTTCAGACCCATTCACATTTTACTAATTATCAGATCGGTTTCAGTTTGGTTCCTTTCGGATGTAGTTTGGATCGGATTGTAAATAAAATCTGAAATCGTCCCAAATATTTTTGAAACCTCAAATTGTCAAAATATTTAAATTGTTCGTAAATCTAATTTAACATTAGTTAAACTAAATAAGCTAATTAAATGATATTCAAAATTTTTTAAAAAATAAAATAAACTACAAAAATCTTTTGAATAAAATTAAATATCTAAATTACCTTGATATATAAAAAAAAATTAACATATTATACTAAATTTCAGATATTTTGGATCTAATTTCGATTTCGGTTCGGTTCATATTATAACCAAACCCCAAAGTACTAAGATTATAAGTCTTATTCGGATAAATTATAACATCTACATTGGGTATTATTGAGAAATAAATATTAGACGAATGATCAAATTAATCTCTCATTCTTCAAACAAACTAAAAAAGAGGTAACTATACTTGTCATGATATTTCATTAAAAAAAATAGAAATAAATATCAAGACTAAGATATTTAATTTGAATGAAATAATATATATATATATATAATAGTGCTTCCAGTATTAAAAAAATCACTTTGATTTAAAGAAGTGTAATTCGCGGATTATCAGGATCAAATAACATATTAGAAACTACCTATTTAAAAATTAATTTGTATACATAAAAGTATATACATTAAAGTAAGCACATAAATCAAAACTAATATCTTTTGTTAATTTAGAATTTTTTTTTTTGTAAAAACAAACCATTTAGTTTATATATATATATATATATTATATTTAACTTTTATTTATTATTGACACTTTCAACTCATATGATTTTATTAACATTTGTATATTTTTCTCTACCAACTTTAAATAAACCAAAAAAAAAATTAATGTGAGATTATTCCAATACGAATTTCAAAATTAAAATATTAAAATCTCAATAATTTTCACTTTGAATTGTGAAATTAACATATTTATATATTTTATATAGTATATAATTTAATTTAAATGATATTGATATATATATATATAATATAATATGAATATCGATTAATGAGGCTTCACATTTATGCGATTTATAATCATTTGTATCTTACATGAACAAAAAAAGTTAAACCATTGATAAAAAAAATTTCAGTGTGGGAGCTTTACCATTTTTAGTAATTTATAGTCATTTCAAAAATTTCTAAACATAAGATACAAGAAAACGAGTTAATTTTTATTATATTCTTAATGTTATTGTTCAATTATATTTAATAATATAAAATAAACAAAAAAAGAGAAATGATACAAAAATTGTTATCAAATATGTGTTATTCATAATTATTAATTATCATATACATGTTAATCCTATTAGGTAATTCCATAGCTTTTATTTAAGGAAAAATAAATATTTTTTTGTGCACTAATAACTAATTTGATAATTAGTTTAATAAAAAATAATATATAATTATATGGACCAACTTATTTTTATAAGGATTTTGAGAATTATCATAATGATGACACGTGCCTACGAAAAAATAATGCTCTAGAATTAAAATATTGGGGATAGCATCAGGATTATGAACTCATAATTTCAACCCAACATATATACATTTTGGTACATATAGATTGGTGTAATCATATTGAACTCATAATTTCAACCAAACATATATACATTTTGCAAATATCGATCATTATTGACATTAATACACTCTGCTCAACATAATCAGTACGAACACCTTTACGTTGAGTAAACATTAAGGATAAGACAAGTAATTGAATCCAATCTGATGACCTTTTTTTACTGACTTCTTTGTAATTCATAAGTACTGTATTTGAAATAAGATTATGGGAAGAAAAATTTAAAACAGATAACGTGATTGAGATCTCGCTTACATAGTTCAGAGTGCACTTGAAGGAAACAAATTTATACTCTCCCATCACACTACACACGAAGCTGTACACAGATGGTGATACACAATAATGGTACTGTAATCCTCTTTAAATTTAGGTCAGTTATACATTTATAACAACTAAATTAGCTCAAAATTAACTTTTATAAGAAAATATTAAAGTTATTATTCAAAAAAGCTAATCATATGCCAAATGAGAGTTGTTTAAGCTACGAATCACAGTTTTGAAAAGGGAAAATTCCTTAAAAATACACCAACTCAGTTTCTTTTACTAAAAAAATACATTAACTTTTTAGACTTCCCGAAAAATACACAGAGTAATTTTGGTTGTCCACAAAATACATGAACTCTTGAATTTTGAAGGTTTCACACCTCGATTTTAACGGCGTTAATTCTGATTAACTGAACATTTAGACGCCGTCAGACGACGTTAACTCTGATTCAAAAGTTCATGTATTTTGTGGACAACTAAAATTAGTCTGTGTATTTTTCGGGAAACC